ACAAGCCGTGTTGTTCAGTATTTAATAGTACTGTAATCTAAATTTTATTTTAAATTTAGGTCCAAACGTAGAATTGAAAAATTAAAAATTAGAAAATCTAATTTCAGTTTAAAAATGACGTATACGAACGCTGTAGGTACATTTAAATTTGATTTATATATATATATATATATATATATATATATATATATATATATATATCAGTCCTACAAGGTCAAAATTTTACCGCCTCCAAAAATTAAACCAGCCCATTAATAATCTGGAGAGACCTACTAGACTTCCATGAGCATGGCAGATTTTAACCTTCAGGAAAGTGACTCGTTGCGCCTTTCTGGGGCTGACATTCCCGGCCGACATGACGTGTGTCATGGGTTCTTACCTATAACTCGAGAATGAACTCGAGAACGCCTCTCAAGAGAGAGGGTAGAATCAAACCGAAAGCTGACGGTCGAACTCTCTGCGTCCGAGCAGAGAGGAACCCGAAACGAGGCTCCGCCGAAGGGCAGAGTCTTGTTCGGGAGGTTGTCCAACCCGATCCCGTTTTATACGGGTTCTACGGGCATTTTTGACCGAACCACGGCCTCGGAAAACCCACGTTAAACTCGGCTTTGTGCCATATGCAACCCTCGTGGGGGTGGGCTGACGAATCAAGCTAAGCTTCTCGGCTTGACGGTCGAACTCTCTGCCTCCGAGCAGAGAGGGAACCCAGACGAGGCTCCGCCGAAGGGCAGAGTCTCGTTCGGGAGGTTGACCAACCCGATCCCGTTTATACGGGTTCACGGACATTATTTTACCGAACCTACGGCCCGGAAAACCCACGTTAAACTCGGCTTTGTGCCATATGCAGCCCTCGTGGGGTGGCTGACGAATCGCTAGCGTCTCGGCCGGACGGTCGAACTCTCTGCCCGAGCAGAGAGGAACCCAGACGAGGCTCCGCCGAAGGGCAGAGTCTCATTCAGGGGAGGTTGACAACCCGATCCCGTTTATACGGGTTCTACGGGCATTTTTTGACCGAGGCCTACGGCCTCGGAAACCCACGTTAAACTCGGCTTTGTGCAACCCCTCGTGGGGTGGGCTGACGAATCAAGCTAAGCTTCTCGGCTTGACGGTCGAACTCTCTGCCTCCGAGCAGAGAGGAACCCAGACGAGGCTCCGCCGAAGGGTAGAGTCTCGTTCGGGAGGTTGACCAACCCGATGCCGTTTAAACGGGTTCTACGGGCATTTTTGACCAAACCTACGGCCTCGGAAAACCGACGTTAAACTCGGCATTGTGCCATATGCAACCCTCGTGGGGTGGGCTGACGAATCAAGCTAAGCTTCTCGGCTTGACGGTCGAACTCTCTGCCTCCGAGCAGCGAGGAACCCAGACGAGGCTCCACCGAAGGGCAGAAGTCTCGTTCGGGGTGGTTGACAAACCTGATTCTGTTTTTACAGTTTTGCTGGCATTTTTTGGCCGAGCCTACGGGCTCGGAAAACCTACGTAAATTCGGCTTTGTGCCACATCTTTCTCTCGTGGTGGAGGGCTAGTAAATATCGAATCGAGTCGAGATTCTTGGCTTGACGGTCAAACGCTCTGCCTCTGTGAAGAGAGGGACCCGAACGAGGCTCCGCCGAAGGGTGGAGCCTCTTTCGGGGTGGTTGACCAACCCGATTCTGTTTTTACAGTTTCTACGGGCATTTTCTGTCCGAGCCTACGGGCTCGGAAAACGCACGTGAAACTCGGCCTTTTGCCACATCTTTCCCTCGTAGGGGTGGGGGAAATAAATATCGAATCGATTCGAGCCAATAGTAGTTCACTCCAAACCAGACTGACGCATCAAATTCAAAAAGGATTTGTAGTTCTGCTGAATCGGATCGTGATTACGATTCAATGTAATACATTATAACCATGGAATATTAGTGTTTGAGCCTTTTTTTATTATATTCTTACTCTGTCCTTGACATTGAGTTCTACCTGGAATATATTCTCTTGGAAATATATATATATATATATATATATATATATATATATGACCATTAATATTATCCATCTGTATATATATATATATATATATATATATATATATATATATAATAGAATTATATAATAATTTAATATATTTTAAGTTAAACAAAGTCTTTGAAAAATTCAATTAGTCTACCTTAAGAAGAGTTTGTATGTAGATAAAAGATAAAAGACAATTTATAGGAAAAAAGAAAATGTTTTAAATAAAATTTACTTGTTCGGAATAAAATTAAAAAAAAAACGTAAAAATATACTAAGAATGGAAAAAAATTAAAAAAGAAGTTTTGAAATAATATGAATTAAATTAAAACAAAGTGAATGTATTTCAAGATGGAAAGACATAAAAAATATAAACAAATATTAACTGAAATACAGATCACGATAACTTTTTATTTTTTCTTTTGTTCAAAGAATAAAAAAATAGAAAAGTTAAAAAGGGAAACAAAGTCAAAGCTGAAAAATAAAAACAAAACAAATACAGACATCCCTCGAATAATGCGCTTAATTTCTTAATGTGTTTTCGATTAGTGCACTGAAATTTTTTATACCAAAATTCGATTAGAGCATGCGTACAACTCGATTATTGCAGACATAATATTCGATTAGTCGGTAATATTTTCTTCAGTTTAAGCAGTTTTTAGTTACTGAAGTGCACATTAACTGCACTAATCGAGGATTCCTGTACTCAAGAAAAAAGTCGAAAGGAGAAACAGAAACTTATAAAAAAAAAAAAAATAGTTTAGTTTAACTCATCTTTAAACTAAATACTGAAACATAAAAATTAGAAATAAAAAATAAATTTAAAAACAGTAACATTAATAAGTTAGAAAACAAAATAAAACCCATAACTTCAAAATTGAACCGACCTAATTCGATACGATAATCACAAACTCCTGTCCAACGCTGTCGTGCCGGAAACGGAAGTCCATAACTATAATCATCGAGTATGGAATTCATTAGTATTTTTAAATGTGAATTTAATTTATTTATTTCCTTTTACCTCATTTAGAAAATATTTTTCAGTTGGTGCGAAAGATTGGAACATCACAAAAATTTGTCGTTCTACAAAGTGATTGTCGTTTCAGAAAAATATCCAGAAACCAAATTTGGTCATATTTGTTTATTATTTGATTAGTCTCATCTATTAAATACAGCTAAGAAAAAAAATACCCGTCTATATTTCTGAAATGAGGTATTATGTACACTATTTACATTATTCGGACGATTGTCGTCATCTTTGTCGCCATATTTATTACAACGTTTCGGCCTTCCAGTATCTGTCTATATTTCTGAGATGAGGTATTATGTACACTATTTATATTATTCGGACTATTGTTCTCATCTTTGTCGCCATGTTTATTACAACGTTTCGGCCTTTCAGTATCTGTCTATATTTCTGAGATGAGGTATTATGTACACTATTTACATTATTCGGACTATTGTCCTCATCTTTGTCGCCATATTTATTACAACGTTTCGGCCTTTCAGTATCTGTCTATATTTCTGAGATGGTATTATGTACACTATTTACGTTATTCGGACGATTGTCGTCATCTTTTGTCGCCATATTTATTATAACGTTTCGGCCTTCAGTATCTGTCTATATTTCTGAGATGACGTATTATGTACACTATTTACATTATTCGGACGATTGTCCTCATCTTTGTCGCCATATTTATTACAACGTTTCGGCCTTTCAGTATCTGTGTATATTTCTGAGATGACGTATTATGTACATTACATTATTCGGACTATTGTCCTCATCTTTGTCAATATTTATTACAACGTTTCGGCCTTTCAGTATATGTCTATATTTCTGAGATAAAGTATTATATACACTATTTACATTATTCGGACGATTGTCCTAATCTTTGTCGCTATATTTATTACAACGTTTCGGCCTTTCAGTATCTGTCTATATTTCTGAGATGAGGTATTATATACACCATTTACATTATTCGGACTATTGTCCTCATATTTTTAGCCATATTTATTACAACGTTTCGGCCGTTGTACGCTCCGGCCTGCTTCAGGTGGTTGGAATGTCGAACTGAACCCTTTCTTTCGCTCGCTGGGGTAGACTGTTCTAGTTTCACGAGCCATATTTAATGGATGTCAGTTATCAATTATCTCTTGTTAATTCCCCTCTCCAAGTTCTCCACTGCCTTAACCAGGTATTGAACTCACACTCTTTGGGTCCTGTCGCTGGATTTAACTAACGCCTTTATCCACTCTGGCTTGAGGACATTTGTGTATGAATTTCTTGGTATTATAAATCTAATGTCATCAGCAACCATTTTTAACAGTGCTCATATTGCAATTTTTTCTGTTGTCATTGAACGTTTTTACTAGAGCTCATATTGCAATTTTGTTGTCATTATCGCTTTTCTCTGGCACTCCTTATTACTGGTTCCCATATTGTATTCATTTCTATGCTTGATCGGCTCAGGAGATTTTTTGTGGCCTAGCATATGTGTTTACGAATTTTTCAATGGTGTTTTTTGTCTATGATCTCAACCTGATCCCACAAAGGGCGGTGATCTCCTTTTTCTCTCCATATGTGGTCAGCTACGCATAAAAATTAATGCACAGTTGATAAAAAAAAGGTATTGTCATTATTTGTTTTGCAGTGCAGCTTTCTCCTATACATACAACATAGTGTCATGTTTTGATTTTAGATGAAGTCCGTTTATTGTTTTAATCACCCCCAGCAAGCACAGCGATAAAGCTACTAAGACGATAGGAGTTACCGAATGTGTAAGAATATGAGAAAAGAAAAAAAAATTAATAAGGAAAGAGAACGATGAAGGAATAGAAATTAAGAAGATCGAACATAATGATTGAAATTGAATTTATATTTTTAAAGATCAAAATTGACTGCAAAGCAAGAGATCGGAAGAGAGTTCCACAAGCGAGAAGTGCGGGAGAAGAAAATGTGAAAGAAAAAAAAAAAATAGAAAAACGAAATGATGAAAGAAAGAAATTAGGAAAAATACTAGGAACATAGAATGAGCATAAAAAGAAAGTAAGAAGAAAAGAAGAAGAAAAAAAAAAAATGCATGAAAAAAATGAAATAGGAAAGAATAAAAGAAAGAAATAAAAAATAGAGAAAAAGAATAAAAAAGTAAGAAAAGACTGATATCAATGAAGAAGGGCTAAATAAAGTGAGAAATATAATTGCAAAACAGTTAAGTCCTACAAAAGGAAAAATGGCTTAATCATTTTGTCAGGGAATAAAGAATAAAAAGAGAAATGAACCACAAGAGGAAAAATGAAATGAAAATAAAAAAAAAACAGAAAGGAAAATAAAAAACAGAAAAGGAAGACAAAAAAAAAACAGAAAAAGAAAATAAAATCAGAAAAGGAAAATAAAAACATAAAAGGAAAATAAAAAACAGAAAAGAATAATAATAACAGAAAAGAAACATAAAAAAGAAAAGGAAAATAACAGAAAAGGAAAATAACAGAAAAGGAAAATAAAAACTGAAAAGTAAAGTAAAAACAGAAAAAGAAAATAAAAACAGAAAATGAAACTAAAAACATAAAAGAAAAACAAAAAACAGAAAATGAAAATAAAAACAGAAAAATAAAATAAAACAGAAAATGAAACTAAAAACCTAAAAGAAAAAGAAAAACAAAAAACAGAAAATGAAAATAAAACAGAAAAATAAAATAAAAACAGAAAATGAAAATAAAAACCTAAAAGAAAAACAAAAAACAAAAAACAGAAAAGGAAAATAAAAGCAGAAAAATAAAATTTTAAAAAAATGAAATAAAAAAGAAAAAGAAAATAAAAACAGAAAAGAAAAAAAAAATTATTAAAAGAAGAATACCGTCAGACCATCGCTCCATCTTTATACTTCCTATCCCGAAAACTTTCGAAACTTGTCAGATTTCTCTTTTTCAATTCTTCGTTTATAAACGATGATATTTATAATACAAAACAAACTGAATTTACATGTTTTGATCATTACGTTTAGGCTGATGTATTCTCCGGACTTCCTTGTGTCTATAGCATATCAAACTTTTTAATTAGCGTTATATTTTAACTTCCCAAATCTGAACAATTCACCTATTTATACGTTTTGTCAGGGATGTGCACTGCAAAATGGCTTTCATCTCAGTTCACCTAAGTAAAAACCTTAATACTTTTAAGAGAAGCCTTTCTAGTAATATGAATAGAATCCCAGAATTCAGTGCTTTCAATTTCAACTTCGGAAGAGTGTGTGTTTTCGTTCCATTTTAAAGCAGGCTGCTAAAAGGGGAATTTCTACTTACCGTTTATTACATGAATATACATCAGTTGCAGAATTGTTCCACCTCTTTAAATGGTTATTCTTTGTAGCGCGAGAGATGGTAAAGAAGACTGAAGTTAGACCTTCAGGAATTGATTCCCGCTGGATCAAACGACGCTAATAAATACCTGTGACTGGGAAGGAGGCTGACGGAATTCAACGCCTCTATTTGCCAGCGATAATGAAATGCGATGCGTACTAAAAGAAATAAAAAGAAAAATGAGGGGAATAAATTGTTGATTTTTTCTGTGCAGGAAGATACATCTTTTATGTAAGTTTCGAGCACAAGGCTGTTATTTTCTCTGCTTCTTACGGCCGTAATTTAGTGGAATTTGGCATTGAGAATGCTTGTTTGTTTGCGCAAGATGATTGGAGAGAGACGAAGAACAGAAAGAAAAAATGGTAAAAGAAACAAAGGAAGAACGAAGAATTGGAAAAGAAATGTGCACAAGAAAATTGCGCGAAGAAACATATGATAAAAGAATGAAAATATTGAGATTGATCGATCGATCGATCGATCAATCGATCGATCGATTGATAGATAGATTATGAACAGACATAGATAGATAGATAGATAGATAGATAATGAACAAACCTAGATAGATAGACAGAAAGATAGATAGACAGATAGATAGATAGATTATGAACAAACCTAGATAGATAGATAGATAGATTACGAAAAAACCTAGATAGATAGATAGATAGATAGGTAGATAGATAGATAGATAAACAAACGGACAGACAGATTATGAACAAACCTAGATAGATAGATAGATAGATAGATAGATAGATAGATAGATAGGAGAGGCAGTCAAATGTAACATATTTTCTAATTTAATTTTAGAGGTATCCGGCAGATTTCCTCGGATTGTTTTAAAATCTATAAACTATAAAATTGCTTTCAGCCCAGAAGAAAAAATCTGTGGACTTACTTTCTATTTTCATATCTATAAGTTTTTTTCAATAAGGCTTCTCCTCTAGAAAGCAAAGAGCTGTCATACAACTGTACTCCGATCATTTACAGGAGCTTAGTGAATGTATATAGAAACGCTGCACTCAATGTAAACCCGATGAGAAGATGGGTCAGTAAAGTTAACTTTTGGAAAGAAATGTTTAAGTGATCTAAATGACAGGCCTCAGTGTGGCAAGCCAGCCGCTGTTGTAAATGATGTTAAGACTAAACTATACAGCTAACAAAAAATTTTGTAAACACTTTCGGGGGAGCCATGTCAGTGTCTGCCATTTTGTGAACTCTTTTGCCGACTCAAAGTCTGTGGTATTGTGCATTCTACTTGTTATCATTTTAGACAGGATGTGTAAAGTATATATATATATATATATATATATATATATATATATATATATATATTAATAATAGTAATACTCGGTTGCTAAAAAACCTCGGATAGCACAACTTGTAAGTCAATCAAAGCAAATTGGTATGCGAGGCAAAAATTGGAAAAAAAGAAAGAACTAGAAACATCTGAACAAGGCGAAATAAATCGTCCAGTGCCTTAAGAAAAAACAAACAAACAAGTAATAAAGCTAAAACGTAGATTGCTCAATACGGTAAGTAGAGCACGGATAAATAAAATAAATCCTAAACAGCTTGGAAAAAACTACCTAGGTTTCACCCAAACGGATCTTCAGGGTAATCTGGCTAAGGAGTCCATGTCACGAAACAGTTTTTATTGATAAGACCACTAAAACCAAATTAGCATAAAACCACGTGACAGAAAAAGATAGGGAAAATAACCCACAGAGCCTCTATTCCAATAATCAGGATTTCTTATGCCTACACATATTTAAAATCTCAGATCTTTGATTTAATAAATTCTTAGGTTCATTGGAGGTGGCTATTGCTAATTTTTCCTTCATACATAATAAGCAATACTTGTTCCCTGCTTTATACTAATGGCATTTTTTTAGTATTTCCATTTTAATATGCGGTCAATACCATCTTCCTGTTTAATATTCCATATGTATATAGACAGTCTAGCTCAGGGTTTGTAATTTTCATGCTTAAAGCTACTTAAATGATTGTAGTTAGGTTTATTTCTGTGTATTTCAACCTTATAAACAAAACATTCTTGTTAGCCTCCTCCCTTAAGTGGGCAGGCATCCTTATTTCTACAGTTACATTTAGTAGGGTTGGAGTGTGGTTTGTCTGATTTTTTTCTGCTCTATCTATTAATTAAGTTAGGCATACAACTGTTACTTAATTTCTGCTGAAAATTTTGTAAAATATGTTTGTAGTGGGGGGGATTGAAAAAACAAAAATGTTCATTTGTAAAATATGACTTAAAAGAATTTTACCCATTACAGAATAAACGATTAATGAAGCTTTAGAAGTGACTAAGGAGTTTATTTCAATATCTAATGATATAATTGACGTCATTAGGCACTGACATAAGTTGTTATTATACCATAGCGATGTGTTATGGATTAAAAAATGAGACAGTGGCAATTTTGATAACCCTATGGGGACATATGACGGGGCTGAAGTATGCGAATTAGTAGGGTGCCTCCTACTAAATAAGTTGAATAAGTTTATCGATCCAAGTAACCACGGTTTATAGAGAGACGATGGTCTAATTATAATAGATAAATGTACCTCCAGAAAAGGTGACATAATCCATAAAATATTACTCTGGATATTCAAAAAATTCGGATTTAAATTAGAAATACAAACTAATTTAAAAATTACGGAATATTTAGACATTACCATTGACTTACGTAATGACACAATTTCTCCGTTTAGGAAAAACAATCAACAGGCGCATTATATTGGTGTAAGATCAAATCACCCCAGGCATGTTTTAAAACATATACCTAATGGAATTAGTTATAGATTGTCTACTAATTCATCCAGTGCTAATATTTCTAATCAAAATAAACAAGATTACGAAAAGGCCTTGGAAAATAGTGGACCCAAAAGTAAATTGGTATATATTGATACTCATAATTCCCCTAACACGCAAGGTAAACATAAAAATAGGGCCAGGAAGATATTATGGTTTAACACCCTATATAATTTTACTGTTATAACTAAAATAGGAAAAATATTTTTTAAATTACTAAAAAGGAATCCCCCCAACAAACGTATTGTACAAAATTTTCAACAGAAATTATGTTAAATTAAGTTATAGCTGTATACCAAACATGGCTAACTTAATAAATGTAACAGAAAAAAATCACACTCCAACCCCACTAAATGTAACTAGAAATAAATCGTATTGGAGCTTCCGATGCGAATGCCAAGCAGTACAGAATGTCATTTTTAAATTTCTGTAAGAGTGAATTGCGTCATAGTGCTTTTTTTTCTTCTTATAGACGGTGTCCAATTGACGCTACTATAGAGTGCAGTCGATAAAATCAAAAACAACGCGCATGCGCGAAATTAAAATGACAAAATGACGACAATTTACCCATCGCACCCTAATGTGGGAGAAAGTGAATATGATTTTCCTTAGAATATTTATTATGAATGCAAATTCGTTAACTATATTATTATTCAAGCATTAGTGATATTTATTTACTTGATTTTCCAAGTGAACCCACCACCATGGCCGATGTGTAATGCCTAAGAGTTTACAGGTACCAAATGTAGAAACCTAATGAAAAGTTCGAAAAATCTGCAAAGCATGCGGGAAATATTTTGCACATTGAAAACAAATTCAGTCCACCAAAATAACCATCTATAAATAGTTGACCAGATGTCAATGAAAAGATTTTAGAATTAAAAAATTAAAACTTTTTTTACTTAAACTTTCCATATATAAACCTACAAGTAAAAATTAATCTTTTTTTATGTTCTGTTTATAGGATATGTAGTGATAAAATACACTTATCACGCCGGGTAAATCGGATATTTACCTGTTTGGCGTGCAAATCCAACATGGTCGACGTCGCGAGGAAGCGACGATGTCACGCGTGGTCACGAGGTGCGGCCATTTGCAATCGCCGCATTACGCATGTGTGACGCTACTTTTTTTTTAATACAATCATAGCGATGTTGGATGGTGCGGTTGATTTTAAGCAGTTTTATGTTCATTAGGGTTTTCTGACATTGGACCTATATTTTCTTTCTGGATTTCGCGATTTGTTAGCCGAACTACAAACAGTGGGTGCAGACTGAATTTCAACTTCACCCACCGCGAAGCGAATGAGTCCGAAATTTTATTGTCGATAACTCTAAAACGGTAGATTTTATCAAAATTTCTTTGTTATTTTCGAATTAAGCATGTATATTTACACCTAAATGGAACTATTCGGGAAATTACTATTAGAAATTGAGCGCTTGGCTTGAACTTTAAATTACCCTTTTGAGGTTCCGTGTCGAAATAAGTTCTGTCACCCACAAAAAAGTGTTTATCCAGTGTCCTAAAAGCGGAAAAATTACCTCGTGTTTACTGGTTCTCGTCGGATATTTCACATATCGCTCATTTTTTTTGTTTAACTGCGTATCAACTCCTTATGGGTCATTTAAAATTTAATATTTCTGGGAGCTTTGAAGTATTGAAATTATGTTATTCTCCTTTCACAGTTGAATACATGGTAGATGATACTCAGAAATAAAGGAAAGACACTTTAAGGAAATATGTCTTTATCTCCCTTCCTCTTTTGTTCAAACACATAAATTAGAGAGAAAAGAAAGAGAAGCAATAAGAAGAAAAATCTTTGTTATTTAGAAACAACTTCGTGTTACTTGCATCATGTTAGTAAATGTAATATTAAGGTTATGCAGGGGAATAATATTTTAAATTCAAAGCGTTTATCGTTCACGCAAAGGGGTTCTCCTGTTAATGAGATATTCCATTGTTATGGCAACATGAAGTATTGAGGCACCTAGAAGTGAATATTTTTCGCGTTAATATATGAATGGAAATCGGAATAAAACTAGTAAGGAAATTAGGAAAATTTTAATCGAAAACCAACATTGATAATTGTAGAACTATTATAAAATATAATGGTGATAAAACATGTTTGTCGGCCGAGTGTGCTGGGATAAAAAATGCAAAAAAACAAAACAAAAAAAAAACAATAATTAGATAGTAATAAATAATATTTAGTTAGATTAAAACTAGTAATAAAATAATACTTTCTCTTGCATGATTGTTAGATTTTATTGATCATACTGATAGATCATTTTAACCACAAGTGTTTCAGTTCTGCTAAATACGTCAAGCATTTGTTAAAGAACTTTTATGTGTAAACCGAAATTGATTTTTGTATAAGAATTAGGAATAAAACCTTTTTTTGTCCGAATGATTTTTTTCTCTTTAACTAATGCACAAATACAGTTATGCGGCCATATTGAATTTTTTCCTACTACTATTTATCAATAAGCAGTATAGAACATCGAAAAAAGAAAATGGTTCAATCGCAGCTGGTTACTTGGGATTTAATAGATAAGCGAGTTAAAACAACAAACGAACAAGGGCTTCAAATGTATAAAAGAAACTCATGTAATATTGTATGCAGAATAAATGTGCTTTTTTGTACAATTTTCCCCGAAGACGTAGGGATTCAATATAGAAAAAAAAACATGCGAGAAATTACGTGAAGTCAGAACATTTTTCAACATCGTCTTTATCAAAGGTGGCGGGAAAGAGTGAGCATTAATATCATGTTCTGGTTGAATCCAGAAAGTATGTTGTATTTTTGCCACTCTATTTTATTAATATTTGTTTTGCCTTCTGTGTTACAACAATGAAAATCTGTACAATTGATTATTCAGTGTTGTTTAAAAAGGGCGCGGCCATTTTAAACAGTCGACTAGCACACGGCTTTAGCCGACATATCGTACAGCAGCGCAGTCACACTAAAAGAATTTATGTATTTAACACACAGACGCGCGCACATACATATATGTTATAGAAAAATGACAATACTAAAAACATTTTTGCTGACGCGTTTCCGCTTCCGACTTTATCAAGGCAAAATTGAAGCGAAATGATTTAGTTTTCATAGTTACATTAAATACAACATTTAAAAAGAGAGAGACGCTTTTATGTAAGTCTCTTTCTGGCTAATGTTAACTTCCTTTATACTCAGAGTTTTTTTTTTTTGCTTTGATAAAGTCGTAGACGAAAAGAAACGCGTCGGCAAAAACTAAGATTTGTTTTCTGTTGTCTTATCCACAAAATTATTCTGGGAATTTTATATATTGTCAACATAGAAAAAAAACTCTTAGAATAAAGAAAGTTAACATTAGCCAGAAAGAGGCTTGCACAAAAGCGTCTCTCTCTTTTCAAATTTTGCATTTAATGCAATTATGATATAAAAAATATATCTGGTTACCGTAATATTGGCGTAGATATATATTATACTGGATTCCAGTTTTAAATTTAATTATATTTGTCATTTAAAATAAATGGCATTTGTATATATATACATGTAAGAAAAAACATTAAAGAATTTTTATTTTAGAGTTGTGAATATTAATTTTTTATTATTAAAAGGAAATTAATTTTTACCTCTTTTTATATACAACCTAAGTTATTTAAGTTTACCTAAGTTATTTATTTTTATGCCTACATGTAACCATCAATTAATTTCTCTTGTTTAATTAGCTAGGGTTATTTAATGTTTTAAGACCAATTTTTCAACAAGACGTAAGTTACATTTATTTCCTTTCACATTATAAGAAAAGGCTCTTGTTATAATATCCCAGTTGATTGATGGTGAGAGGCCATCATTCTTTAATTGCCAGAAATATTTGGAGAGAGACTGTTTTTGTATTTTGTATTACCTGAAGTCTTTCGACGATGGTAAAACGAGATTTCCAAGGATTTTCAGAGAAACCAAAATAAAATTTAACATCATTATTGGAATGTATGCTCGCTCGGTATACAATATTATCAGTCATACATTGACCGTTTAAGGGACAGATCATCTTAAACAACCGAGTAGAACAGTTATTGCAGTTTCAGTTCACTAGCTGAAAGCGGCCACTCAGGGGACCTATTTTGACCGTATATACAACTTTTCCATAGAATTTAACTAAACATGTTTGATCTATCTATCTATCTATCTATCTATCTATCTATGTGTGTATGTGTGTGTATGTTCACTATCTGCCCATAGCTGGGACCCTAACAGGTGCTACCACCCTGTGTCAGAAACTGGGAACAACAGCAATTAAGAGGTGGTTCCACACGCCTCAAAACCTCCCAATCAGATGCCTTGCTGCCAGATGTAGTTTATTGTCATACCCAGGACGAGAGAGAGAGAGAGAGAGAGAGAGAGAGAGAGAGAGAGTGTGTCTGTGTGTTTATACGTGTGTGAGAAAGAGAGAGAGAGCATGTAAAAGAGTAAGTGTGAGAGACACAGTGTAAGACAGAGCGTGTGAGGGAGAAAGAGTCAGTAAACTGTTTTTGCTAAATTCAACCAACAATCTGATTGAATATTTTTTATTTTATTTTTTCTCTTTTTGAAAACTGTTTTTGTAAACCCAAATAAAAGAAATGGAGATTCCGCAAATTTTTGGTATGAGGAATTATTATTATTTATACTATTTACATTCTGATTATTGTCCCAATCTTTGTTGTTATCGCAACGTTTCGGCCGTTGTGCACTCCGGCCTCCCTCAGGTGTATATCGATCTGGGTAACCCTTCAGTGAATTCTAAACTGAAGTATTTATTTAATCTATGTTACCGATTAAAGGAAGGATTCAGTTTATAATTTTCTGTAGGTTACAGGATCGACACACACCTGATGAAGGCTGGCGGATACAACCCCTGAAACCTCGTGATAACAACAACGAAGATGACGTCAATATTCCGAATGTAAATAGTATAAATAATTCTACAAATTTTATGGTTTTGTGTTATTTTTCATGTCATTTCAACGATTTCAGTCACTAGCAAGAGCTGAACGTTGTCAATATGGCAGAAAATATTTTAGTGGCAGGGCTATTTTTGGAATGCTACAATTCAAATTAATTCATAAGTATGTGTACCATATCATGATGTCCTATTTCCGGTTCACTAAACGATCCGTTAAAATTACAACTTTCATTCGGTATCATTAATAGTCATTCCTTTTCAAATAAAGAACTGTTTCCCTGGGGCAATGCCTTTGTTGTTAATTCCAAACATCGGACATTCGTCATAATACTTTCACGAATAACTTTCATATTTCTTGCTCGAATTCCTTTCAAATTCGACAGTTTACTCTTGATAAGATAACAATTCGATATCAATTTCATATCAATTCGATTCAATATACGACGATAATCTCGTAGTATTTCACGCATGAAACCAGGTTTTCTTAGAAAGTTGAAGATTGTTATAATCTATATATAACTTCCTGATTACCAGTCCTGTTATATAGCAATGATTGCTTGGCAATCTCTTCAGAGATGAAGAAGAGACTTGAAGCAACAGAAATGTGGTTATACAGAAGGGTGCTGACAATGCCATGGACAGAATATGTGAGAAGCGATGAAATTTTAGAGAAAATAGAAACTAAAAGGACACTCATGATTAACGCCAGTAAGATAATATTGAAATTTCTCGGGTACATAATGAAAAAAGAAGGCTTGGAAAATTTGATACTCACAGTACCTATTGAAGATAAGAGGAACAGAGGAAAACAACGCATCGATTAAATGGATGGTGGAGCAAGGTTTACTAGATATAACATAGAAAATATTTATTAAGAGAGGCAGGACAAGAATTTGGGGAAAACCATGATCGCTTACGTCCTGAAGAGGCACGGTAAAAAGAAGAAAAGGAGGAAGAAGGAGGAGGAGGAGGGGGAGAAGGAGGAGGGGAAAAGGAGGAAGAAGAAGGAGGAGGAGGGGAGAAGGAGGAGGGGGAAAAGGAGGAGGAGAAGGGGTTCTGAGTCGCATATGGCCCCAAAATTTACACCCGAAGGAATTCCGTACACATCTCTCACAGAAGACTTCCCTTGATATTTCATTGACCAGAAACTATGAAGTATCTCTAAATAAACAAGAACTGTTATTTTGAAGTGGATGCTGCTCTGAATGCAACAAGATGAAGTTCATATTGTTGCAAGGGTAAATAGAATAGACAAGTTCATATTGTTACAAGGGTAAATAGAATAGACAACGATTAAGCCTTGACTTGATGAAGTCAAGGCTTAATCGTTGTCTATTCTATTTACCCTTGTAATCTTCACTTACTAACACTCCACTTTCATATCACACACATCATTCATCATAGCTATCTTAACTGTAATCCACAACTTTAAGTGGTTATGGAGTTTTGCATTAGGAAATCTTTAGAATAAAAAGAAAGATTATTCATTTCATGTAATTATCTCGCTTTCTACAAAACGTACCTCTAAACAATTAAATGTCTTTCGGATGTACTCACAACACCATCACGATTACACGAGACTGTGACCAAATTTCGACACACCGCTATGACAATCCTATAATAATTACATACAAACTGTAACAAAATTGTCATGAACCATTATCACGATCACATAACAAATTACCTTCAGAATTTGACCAAATTTCGACTTACCGTCTTCAAGGATAACCTACCGACTGTGACCAAATTTCGACACTGCACCATCACGATCCCATAACACTTACATTCGCACTACAACCTAATCTCGACACGCCAACACCACGATGCCATAACAATTACCTCCAGACTGTAACATAATTTCGCCACGCTGCCGTCACGATCCCAAACGAATTACCTCCAGACAATGACCAAATTTCGACACACCAACATCACGATCCCGAAAGAATTACCTCCAGACTGTTTCCAATTTTTGACATACCGTCTTCACGATCAAATAAGGATTACCTACTGACTTTTATCGTGAGCGTAGGGTGATGAAATTTGACTAGAGTCTGGAGGTAATTCTTATGGGATCGTGACGGTAGCGTGTAGAAATTTGATCATTGTCTGGAGGTAATTAGTTTGGGATCGTGATGGTGGCGTGGCGAGATTTGGCTATAGTGTGGAGGTGTTATATGATCGTGATAGTGCAGTACCGAAATTTGGTCATCACGATCCTATAACACCTCCATACTATAGCCAAATCTCGCCACACCACCATCACGATCCCAAACTAATTACCCCCAGACAATGACCAAATTTAACACGCCACCATCACGATCCCATAATGATTACCATAACCAAATTTTTACGTCACC